CCTAGGAAACTTCTGAAACCTTGAGGAATTAATATCATCTCAGATGAAAGGCAAAGACTATAGGAAAAATATATTGTTAAAGCCACCTTTAATATAATGTAAATATTTTGAACAAGATCAAAGAAACTACCTGATCCACACTGAATCAAAGTTCAAAGGACTGTTTTATTCCCCTAATATAGAAGTGGAAAAACATTTTTTTCAGAACTTTTTTTAAATTATATTTTTCATTATATATTCTCTATTATGATCCTCACTGATTCAACTTGTTTCAACAGCAATGTAATAACTTTCTACAAATGAAAGATTTTTACTGAGAAAAATTTACACAACATATAATAAAGGTAGAGAAAAAAAGTCTAAAAGATCTGTGACAGTCATCTTCAGTAGTAGAAAATGCAAAGGAGTTTTGCTTTTTTATCTTATTTATATATTTTATATGCACAAAGGATTCCTTCAAAGAAAAGAAAAAAGGATCTTTATAAAAATAATAAACTACCAGAATATTCTCCCTCAAAATAAATAAATACCTGCTGTGACTACTACTTGCATTAAAGCCTGCCTCTTTAAGTGGCTGTACAATCTGGCTAAGGAAACATGGCATAGATCTGTGGAATAATTAAGTAATTATAAGATCCACTCACAAAACAAGGGCAAGGTCATTAAATTTTTAGGAATTTAGAGCCCAGTGGGAGTCCAAGTTGTTAAGAACAGGTTCAAAGAGGAGGGCTGTAAAATGCACAAGTCAGAGACCATTGCTTTGCTGTGTCTAGCTCAGGGCTGACTCATATAATATTTATTGAGTGAGTGATTAATGAAGGAGAGAATCTGGCCTTGAAGGAAATGTTTTAGTAGACAGTGAGAAATCTACTACACCTAGAGCAAAGGAAAATAAAGTTTAGGTAACTCTAGATTATAAAGTGTGGTTTAATACAATGAATAAATACATTTTTGCCTTTTCTAATAAGCAGAATGAAAGTGTGCTCTTGGCAGTGAAACTGAACAATAATGTGCCAGGCTATGTGGGGGGTGTGACAAGAGGTGGCATAACCAGGATGGAAGATATTGCTGTAATCTGGCATGAGTGTAGAAAGGCCTGACCTGGGTCATAATAGGGAGATGGAAAGAGCAGGAGCCAGAGTACAGGAAAATTTGGTAGAGTCTACTAGGGAGGAAAGAAGGAAAAGGAAGGGTTTTATTCCATTCCACAACTTTACACCTGGGTGAGTGCTCTTGTTCTTAAATGTTATTTAGTCATCCACCCAGCAAACACTCACTAGTGATTGCATGAGGATTCTGAACCCTATATAAAGGAGCAAATTTTCATATCCTGTGCCTTTCAGTTGACCGAATCCCTGATAAGTGTGCCATACACTGGGATGGGATAATAAAGACAGTTCCTATCCTGAAGAGACAAGAGAGAAGGAAATAAGCATCAGTAATAGATTAATTACTTCTACAGGAGTGTGTGTTTTCTTCCTCCTACTGCTTCATGATTTCCATTCCTCCCTACTTAAAAAATGATCTGAGCCTCAGACAGACTTAAAGATCTCGCCTGATGTACTGGTTCTGAGTAGCCAATACAAAAAATAAAATTTACAAGCTTTAAATTAAGTAAATCACTTTGTTTTTCCTTAAACACTTCATTATACAACTGTATGCATTTTCTTAGATCCTATTTTGAGTTGATCTTTAAAAAAAAGAAAGAAAAGAAACTACCAAGAATTTATTTACTTGGTGGTACTGGGGATCTAAATCTTAGCCTTAAGGATCCTAGGCAAGTGCCCTACCATTGTTCCTGGCTCCCCCTACCAAGAATTTAGTCAGAAATTTTTTACTACAATGAAGGAAGTAATACCGCTCTACAATACCCTACAGAAACTTAAAAAACATTGCAAAAAATAGGATGATTGCTTGAATAGTAGCAAAGACTACTTCATCTGGGGATTTCCACTTACCTTTGTCTAAGATGATTCCAAAAGAAACCATCCTGTCTCAACAGTTTTTCATCTATGCATTTCTCAATCTTCCCCTCCCAAGAAACTAAGGTGGGTATAGATCTCCTTACATCAAGTCAGGCAGGAATCCATTCCCTTTGCTGCCTAAAACTCATAATAAATCAACACCAGGAGTTGTCTCAAATAAAGGCTCACTGCTTCTGTACATTTTGTGCATTTGGAATAACTTCAAATTCTAAAATGGAAACAAAAGTACTTAAGTCACAAGGCTGTTGGGAGGATTAAATCATTTGGGCTTGTTTATCCAAAGATGGGAACCCAGTTAACTAACAAATTTGAATAGATGCAATTTTAAGACTTAAAATTCAACTCCTAAAATTCTTAAGTGCTAAGATAGGCAGAGGCACTTTGGCAGCAGCAATAGAAATGATCTTACAAAGCTGGGAACAGTCAGAACATCGTAAAAACGAGTACTGGAAAATTGGAATTTTAAATAAAAATATAAAGCAAACCCTAGTATTCACATCCCCCCCCCAAGACCATAGGTGTCTCAATTAACACTATCTATATAACCTTGAGCAGGAGATTTCACTTTCCAGATGTGCTCTCCTTATCTCAATGTACCTGACATGTCTGAAATTCTATATGTCAGTGCTGTTCTTTGGGCTGAAAACTTTTGGCTACTGGGATGTTTTAAACCTAGTTTAAAGCCAATCAAAATTATTTCCTAGACATTTTCACAGTATCTAAAACTGGCCCCAGCTTGGTTTTTGTTTGCTTTGTTTGTTTTGGCAGGTGAGGGACACTAAGTTATACATATACGGGGCACTTCCTGATCTCAAACAGTTTTATAATCAAATTTGGAATCAATACTTCAATGTACATAAATATTAGCAAATTTACACAGTATGCACAAATATGATACTAAGGCACTGATAGTAAGAGTTGCAAGAATGAGAGCAATCAGAGACAGCTTCATAGAGAATGAAGGACTGCAGGTCAGGCTTGGAGGAAGGGAAGAATTTGAATCAATGAAAGAAAAGGCACAGGACAAAGAATATAGTCTATATATTTCTTTAATTTTAGTTCTAACTATGTTACCCTGAGCAAGCCATTCATCACCTTTCCCCTTTAATGAATCCATAATTTCTGAGGGTCTACTATATAAATACACATTATATATATACATGTGTGTTTATATATATAGTGTGCCTCACTTAAATAATGGACAAGATTTTCCACTTTAAGAAATAGAGGAAAGGGGTTTAAGATTTAACAAGAAGTTGTTTAAAAATAACTCCAAGCTCACATGACATTGGTATTATAAAAAAAAAAAAAAACACAAAATCTGTTTTCTAAAAAAGAATTCTTAAGGGCTGGAGGTATGTCTCAAATGGTAAAGTGCCTGCCTAGCAAGCAAGAAGCCCTTGAGTTCAAACACTAGTTTAAAAAAAAAAAAGAATTTTACAACTTGCTTTTTGCCATTTTACCATTTTTCTACTAAAACCAAACTCAGCATGCAACCTAATTAAACACAGTAGCTTTTTTACTATGTAGAACAGTGGGAAAAAAACATTTTTACATTAAATTTTCAGAATCCTAATTCTTTCTCCTCACACTTGAAACCCCAGCTGCCTTTTGCCACTAAAAGCAGTACTTGTTTGACATGTGTGTAAACAGCCTATGCTACTAAATAGTTGGTTTATGATAGAGCGTTGGATTTATCTAGCAAAAACACAACACATGTATCAGTACTTCCTTTTGTCCTGTGTGTTCTACAGCTTGGCCAAAAGCAGAGGAAAGAAAATACAGATGGGCAGGATATCCTCAAATTATTTGGTTTTCTTTATGTTATTCCAGAGAGAAATCCAGAGAGAAGCACAAATTCAAACTAAGTGCTTGATATACCTCGGGTGGCAGGTCCTGGGGCTGAAAGGCAAGCCTTCCCCATCCCAGACTGTGTGGTTCTAAACAAGCTGTCAAGGCCTGAAGTCTCTGTGTAGAGGAAATGGGAAACCCTGACTTTGCAGGATTCACCAACTACCTCCTCTGGTACTCTTGATTTAAGAGAAAGCAATTAAGCAGAAAAACATCACATCAACTTTAAGGATCCTATTCAAAACCTATTTACATAAAACTACACAAAGTGACTGAGGAGTTCAGGTACTATTTCAATTTCTTGTTCATTTTGCCATTGTTTGATACAATGTTTAATGCACATTCTGTATGTACATTAATCTACTGCATATTCAATACACTTCAGCAAATATTCCAGACGACCTAGTATTATGTGTTGGATATAATGCTGGGTACTGAGATGAATATAAATAGCAAGTGCACCTTCACTTATGCTCTTTTCTTTCCTTCCTTCTGCCCTCCCTCCCTCTCTTCCCTCCCTCGTTCTTTCCCTTCCTTCCCTTCCCTTCCTTCTTTCCTCTTTTTAGACTATTGCAATGGTAAACTAGGCAGACAATTCTGAAATCTTGCAGAAGATACAGGCTACCAAAATAATAATAAGGATAATGATAAGGAAACTGCTACTATTAATAATAGCAGCTAATACTTATTTAGAACTTACTATGACCAAAACACTATCCTAAGCATTATACAGATAATTTAGCTCCTTAATCAATCTGTGTAATCACCCTCAGAGGAAAGTAACTAAGGGCCATGATAGTGCTATACAAAAATGTGGGATTGGCCCTCTAAAGACTTTAGTAGTTGGGAAAATACCTTCTAGAGATGAATAGCATTAATCAAGTAAAATGACACAGGCTGTGGGGTTAGGATGATGAGTGATGTTCAAAGCCAAAAGCGTTACACATATGAATGCCCAGAGGTAAGACTGTGCACTGAATGATCAGAGAACTGAAAGCAGGTAAGTGCAGGTGATGTATATGCGAAGTATCTAAACAACCCACAGATTTATGTATTAGGCAGAGTGGTTTCTGGAGTAATAGGGAAAGAGGGTCATTCTCAGGAAAAGCTAAGCGGCCCCAGGCACTTAGGGTGGTTGGCTAGCAATGTGCTATAGGTACCCACCTGTCAGCAGCAGCCTGTACTGGGGAATCCTCTGGACCGGCTTGAGCAGGTAGTGCCTGAGGGCCAGGTTGGCACAGCGAGGGCTCATCTGAAAGGAAAGGGAATCCAAAGCAAACACAGTGCTTTTAGAAGCAAAGGACCCAGTTCAAGTGCTTAGGAAGCCAAACTTTACCAACAGCCAGCAACTCTAGGAGGAGGTTCATAGAGACGTTCCCTTTCACTATTAGGCATTGCTATTCCATGGTAAGGGCAACTGTGGCCAAAGTTACCACAACCCACTCTCCTGTCGGAAATCTCTGAAACCACTCGCTCTTACTTGTTCACAGCTCTCTCACAGAGGGTGGTGGTCAGAGTCTGCATTTTCTACTCAGCAGCTCCCCCTTAGAGGGGAATTAGCCAATATATTCTAATGTCAAGCCCCAAGGACCAAGAAGGGACTGCATGGTCTCCAAAATAAAGAAGCAGAAATGAAGCCACTGGGAATTGGACAGCCTTGTGGTCAATACACTCATAGTAAAAACAGGGCGGTGTGGGGGAGAATTGCAGAAATTAAAGACAAGAGCATTGTAGCTAAGCGTCCTTTCTCTTATAAGCATGAAAAATGCAAACATTTTTTTCAGATGAAGGGTCCTACAAAAGACAGCCAAATCACAGGGAATATAGGAATACCTGATTGTGGAATCATGTTTTCTTTTTTTTGGTGGTCCCGAGGCTAGGACCCAGGGCCTTGCAAATGCTAAGCACAGTGTCATTTACTTACCTAAAGCAATTGTGTTATTTATTTATCTGAAGGAAAACATAAATTCTATTTCCTTTTCATCACTATAGGTTGATTAGCAGAAAAATGGAGGGAAAGGTTAAGTTAAAAATAAGAAATACTTCCTAGGGTAGTCAAATTCATTGAGACAGAAAGCAGAGGAGAGAAGGGGGAAGTCACTATTTACTGGCTACATAGTCTTGGATTTGTAGGGTGAAAGGTCTTCTGGAGATGTGGTTGCACAATAATGTCTATGTACTTAACACTACTGATTACACATGTAAAAATAGCTAAGATGGTAAAGTTCTGATATTGTATTCCACCACAATTTTTTAAAGTCCAATCAAATTATTAGTTTTCCAAGACAAAATAGTCCAATGTACAATAATAGATTTTCAGAATTAGACCTTGAACACTATTTGAGTTTTCACTATTTTATTAGATCTATTACTTCTTGTACTTAGAAGGGATTTTTTTTTTCATTTTTCTTTTATTATTCATATGTGCATACAAGGCTTGATTCATTTCTCCCCCCTGGAAGGGATATTTTAATATATGTTTGCTTGCAAGGTTTTTTTTTTTTTTTTCCAATGACTGCAAATTATTATTAAGGCTTTTTAAAAAGAAGGAAAAAGAAATTCTCATCCTCAGATGGTAGCAAATACCTCAAATTCTCTAACAACAGCAGCAAAGCCTGAGTTTTTCCTGCATTGCTCATCCAGCAAAGCTATATTCTTATCAAATTCTTTGATGTATGTGGAATACATCTTTAGATACGGTCCCTTCTTTACAAAGATATCAGCAATTCTTTGTTGTTCAGTCCTATGGACAGAGGAGAGATACACAGAAACATAAGAGGAAAGTCATTAATGTGTCCAAAGCACAGCTAAGCCATCTCATATCTTTCCTTCCCCTCAAAGACTTGAAGAATTTTATATTGGTAGTAAGTAGAGCTTTTTCTATAGCTATAGTTTTTGTTGTCCATTTCATTAATTTAGTCTGGTTCTTGGAAATGTTTAATATTTTAATATATGACACCTACATATCTAAACTTGGAGAAACTTTTAGTACAGGCAAAAGATATATTTAAAAAAGAAACAAAAGCTATATTTAAACCTCTTTATAACATCAAATATACATATCTTAAACCCAACTTGGATTAATTTTTAAGATAAATTTTTACAAGAAAAAAATAACAAAATAGGTAGGAATATTTATGTAGTTACACTTTATTTCAAGTAGGACATTAAAAAAACTTTTAGTCATTCCTCAGGCCTTAACTACATGCTGTTTTATACTTAGAATTCCGCTAGGTATTAATTGCTTACCAAGGGTATTTCCCACCATGCAGAGGCACAATATTTGGAAAACAGGCTTTTCTGGGTTATATATAAAAAAAGCTTAGTGAGAAATTGTGATTTTTAAAAATGTAGGTGATACTATTTTTTTTTCCAGGTATTAGGATGAACCCAAGGCCTCACACATGCTAGGCAAGCATTCTACCACTGAGCTACACCTTCAGCCCACGTTTTGTTACTCTAATCATTTTGTGTTCCCCATAGAGTCCAACAATAAATTCAGTCCCCTAGACAAATCTTTCTACATACTTTCTTCAGTCCAATGGAAGTAGCTTCCAATACTAACATTTTGGTATTCTTTTCCTGTTTTGAAATCTATACTCATGGTAATGTCATACATGTGTCATTTTTCCTTTCCAAAAAAAAACGGCTGGCAGAGTGGCTCAAGTGGTAGAGAGATTGCCTACCAAGTGTGAGGCCCTGAGTTCAATACTGCTAAAATAAAATAGTTTCATGATCTGCAACTCTTAGAAAACAGATGAAATATTTAAAATTTCCAGAAGTATATGTAACAAAAATAAAATAAACTTTCCAATAGAGAAATCAATTATCCTCCTTTATTCTCAAAAATCTTCATCACCAAAGAAACAATAAATTTGGCTGAATGTGGCCCTTCTCACTTCTGAGCAAGCATTCCTGAAGAGTTTTGCCAAGGTTTGGCCACCCCAAATAATCAATCTACAGCTCATTGCCAACAAAATTCAGTATTTTGCAATAACTCAATGTAAGGAATCCCTCCTCCCTGTCACAGGCGGGGCCCTTATGGCTTCATCTCAAATTGAAAACTGTGAGGACACTCAAAACTCAGCCCATTTTTACCAGTTTAGCAGTCTTTCCTCCAGTTCCTTGAGCAGATCCCGGTTCAGCTCATATAGCTGAGGCAAGTAGTACAGGATCTGATTTAGGATCCGGTCCTCAATCACTGGTTTCCCAAGTTGCCTGGAAGCATGGGCTACTGCATCCCGGAAATCCTGTAACAGTGCAGAGGTGAAAAACAAAACACACACACATATAACCTGAGAAAAAGCTTTCTGCCCCACTTACCCACTTCCCTTAAATGATAAAAGTTGCAAAGCTGTATTGTTATTATATCTCTAGACTTTAAAGTTATTCCAATATCATCATATAAAACATGACCCATTTATTTAAAAGTACCCAGGAGATCTTAACTAGTTTTATTCTGGACTTAAGAGTACCTTTGTGGATCAAGTATTAGAGTCCCTGCCTACCAAGTACAAGGACCTGAGTTCAAACTCCAGTACTCCAGAGTCCCTTTTTTGGGTGTCAAGGTACATATCTGTAATCCTAGCTACTTGGGAGGTGGAGATAGGAGATTGCAGTTTGAAGACACCCCAAGCAAAAGTTAGCAAGACCTATCTCAAAAAACATGCTGGGCATGATGATGTGTGCCTGTAATCCCACCTAATCAAGAGGTAGAGATAAGATTGTGGTTGAGGCCAGTGTGAGCAAAAGCACAAGACTGTATCTGGAAGAAAAACCAAACTAAAGCAAAAAGGGCTGGGCATAGGTCAAGCGCTGAAGCACCTGCCTAGCAAGCATAAAGCCCTGACTTCAATCCCTAGTACCACCAAAAAAAAAAAAAAAACTAAAGAATCCCTTTGTCCACTTTCTGTAATCATTTCCCAATAACTAAAGCACCATGGGTGAGGCATGTGGAAGGAAGCACATGCTAGATAATCAGATTCCAGGATCTAAGCCCTTGCTCCTAATTACTCTGTTTCCTCGGGCTAGCCCCATTTTCCTCACTTCATGGGTGTAACAGTTAAGAGACGTGAATGTCATCTTGCTCATGAAGTTGTCTGCAACGCCTCTGGTTTACAAAAACCAGAGAAAACATTTCCAGTGTGGACTGTAATTCCCTCCCTCTAGTCAGCCTGCTAATCAAACAGAAAGTTTTCACATACTATTTTTCATCTTCTGTCCCCTGTAAGACTATCTGTACCATGTTTTACTGTAGGTCAATACTACCACACCCCATCACTCCAGAGTGGGAAAGGAGATAATTATTTGCCTAGATTTCTTTGTCCTCTGAGGGTAGGCCTCAAGATGTAAGTAAAACAATAGTGGAATTTGTTCAGCACTCCAGAAGATCTAAAACCAAAAAATGTGTTTCTTCCTAGTAACAGTTTTAATTAAAAATCCTAAAGCAAAGGTTAGGTAAGATGACTTTTACTCGTCTCTATCTTCTTTTTTTATTCTTAAAATTATTTTTATTAGCATATGTTAATTGTACAAAGGGAATTTATTGTGATATTTCCATATATGCATATAACATGATTTGATCGAATTCACTTCTTCTATTACTCTTTTTTTATCCCCCCCAACCCCCTTGTCCCCTGCCTGTCTGCCTTTACTTTTATTTTCAGCTGCTTTCCCTTCAGGGATTCATTGGGCGAATCAAATTTTTAAAGATACCATTTTCTCCCTGATCCCTTCAGCACCTGGTCCCAACAAACAAATATTAACCATGGATATTTTTTACTTCTGGACAAAAAACAAACGAAAAGCTCTCATACATACTTTAAAAGTATACAAAAGATCCTTCCTTCCTTCATCCCTTCCTCCCTTTCTTCCTTCCCTTCCTCCTTTTTTTCTTCCCCCCCTTTCTTCCCCTCTTTCTCCTCTCTCTCCCTCTTCTGCTGGGGATTGAACCTAGGCCAGTGCATGTAGGCAAGGCTCACCACTGAGCTACACTCCCAGTCCTTTAAAGTATGGCTATTTTTAAGTAAGCCAAATCCTATGCTCAACTAATGCTAAAAATGCTCAAGTGGTAAAGGGTTTGCCTCAACCAAACGCCAGTACCACAAAAAATTTTTTTAATTAAAACCAAAAAAAATTAGGATTAGGTACCTGGGCTCACCTTTATTGGTCCCATGACCATGTTGGTCCAAAGGAACTACCAGTAACTAACTAAAGAACTTGTATAATTAATTAGGAAAATACAAAATAAGAATTTATAATCTGTATAAGCTCCAATCCAGAAAAGCAAACAAACCTCTCCGGAAACCAAATGGATACTTGCCAAATTCCAAACCCAACAGCTTGCTTCAATCAGCACTCACATTTACCAAGAGAAAGTAGAGATGCTTAGCACTGTGGAAGGCCACTAGATTGGCTGCTGTCAGGCAGAGCTATCGAACACATTTACAAATAGCTTCCCAAATTGTAAATATATTCAAAACACAGCAGTTAAGCGCCTTTTTTTTTCCACCAGTTTAATGATGAATATAATTTATCTGCAAGAGCTCCTTGCTCAGCAAAGGACTACTACCCTTTCTTCTGGAGGAATAAATGATGACTATTTTTGTCTATTGGCAACCGGACAGCTTTTGAGTTGGAAGGTATTTCCTCTGCCATGACAGTGACAGTCTGACACTGCTTCTGCCAGACTCTCATTCCATATGTCTGTCACCTTTGCTAAATTGGAAACATGTTTATTTAAGACACATTTAATAGAGACCAGCCAAATCTAATGTGGGCTGACCAGTGAGATGACTGCCTCTGAATGGAGGCCTTTGTCACATTTTAGGCAAAACTTTACTTTTTCTGGGACTAATGGATGCTTGTAGGCATCTCTAGATGAAATGATGTTCCACAATGTCTTCATAAATTTTTTGAGTAGTATGTCAGAATAAAAGAGAAGTTTAATACTTATCTAATAAAGACTACAGAAATTTAGAGTTTATATCCAAAAAACCTAGAAAGTTATATATTCTAAGAAGGCACTTGGCAAAGGTTCTCTGCTTAACCAAAGCAGTCAAGTACCAGAACCCTTTCTTAGGTCATTTGGACACTTCCTTGTAAAATCCAGCTGCAGTAAGCACTTCCCACCTTTGGAATCTGACCCAGCTCCTCATCCTCCACCAGCCCCCAGATGATAATCTGATCCCCCTGGCCAGTCTTCAGCAACTACTCTGTTAAGTAGGCTTAGCTAGAATCCCCCTTATTGCTTATGCTTTCTCTTGGTAATTTTCTATCCAGTGACTTCCACTTTGCTCCTTGACCACTTGTACATGCTGTATTTGGAGGTAAGCCCAATCTCTCTTTGCCACTGCAAAATGCCACTGCAGTGAGTCCCTGTGCCTATGGTGATGGATGGTATTGAATGAAGTCTGCCTTATCATGCTTTAACAAATGTCAATGAATACTTTTTTCTCCTGGGGCTATCACTGGTTTTCTTGGTGCTCTTTTGAAAATGGAAAATTATGAGTAGTATATCAGCATAAAATAGAAATTTAACACATAAAAGAGCCAAAGAACATTTGAAAATGGTAAAAGATACCCCTGCCTGAGAGTGTAGCTCAGTTGTAGAACACATGCTCACCATGTGCAAGGTTCTGGGTTCAGTCCCCAGTATTCTGCCACCCAAGAAAGGACACCCCCGCCTCAAGTTAGCACAAGTTATGTAAAGTGTTCCACTTAAAAATTATAGCCTCCATAACCACGTGTGGCTGTACCAGCCCCAGTTTTGTTCCCTTACCTTTAGGGTCACCAACCCCTCCCTAGAGGCAATGTACTCTGAATTCAGAGCCAGATGCAACTAATTCCCCAGCAATACAACAGAATCTTTAACTTGTCTCAGCTCTCCATGAACATCAGCCACTGCCAACAGTGGTGCCGCTGGAAGGAGGTAACATCTTTTTTTAATAAAAAGAATGATTACAACATGGGTCTGGTTGTTTTTCTAAATGTTAACAGCCAGGATAATTTGGGAAAGTGTGATGACACGTAAAAGCCAGAGGCAAAACTATTTTGGGGCAAAAGCGTCTAAATTCACCAACACCTCTTAAAATACGACAGTGGGGATGCAAGACAGTAGGACTAGCACTTCAGAAATCCAATCCAGAGTTTTCTTTTTCACTCTAAAAAAGCTGCAAAATTAAAATAAAGGGGTGGTGGTAGGGAGACAGAGTGGAAATGTTACAGGCTATAGAGGTTACTGGTATCAACCACATTTACTTCAGTCTTTCTAACATAAAGCCCACCAAAGATTCTTGACACAAAACTGAACCACCTGAGCTGGAATTTTTAGAGATGGAGATGGGCCGCTGAATGATAAAGCATACCATAATACTCTTAACAGTATCAAAAAAGAAAAACTATAAATAAGGACCAGAAGAACTCTAAATGGATCTTTAATTCCTTTAAGGTATTAACATAGTAGCCTTGCTAGCTCTGATCACTGGGGAAAAACCTATGCAAAGATCAATGCAAATAAAATCAAGTATGGACATTTGAGGCAATGAGGCACAAGACAGATGGCCTTGTTCATTGCATTGGGGCTTTATATCTTCAGAGCCAAAGAAGAGTATGTGACTTAATGACCAGCTGCCCCAGTGCAATTCCTGACCTCCAGGCATTACTTAACCACTATCATGACACAGTGAATTACAAAGACCACATGGACATATGGACAGCAGGGAGCTGTGGAAATAAGAATCACTAAGAATCACTTCATATGAACCAAAGCAAAGCAGCTGCTGAGGTCAAAGAGCTCTGGTAAGTATGCAGAAATTAGGGAGAAACTATGAAGTAAAAGTACAGGGGGAAAGTCCCCACCTTAATAATTTGACTTTGTTTTAAAACAAAAATACTTTCCGAATAAAATTATTCCTCCCTATATGCACAAACCTGGTGATAGTGTGCATAACCACCAATGCAAAACTATACCAAACATAACTGAAACCAATCCTTTATCTCAAGTTTCCAATCCCCTTTAGTAACATTAATATGTGATGATCATAAAAATATCCTAAGTAACCAAGATCTAGCTTCATTTTCATCTTTAGATGATTAATTAAAAAAATGAACCCTAGAGTTTCTCTGGTATCCTGGGTAACAGAAAGAATGCTGGAAATAAGCTATACACCCAAGCATACAATGTATGTCCTAGGCAGCTTGGTTAAGATGTAGAACAACAATTTTCAATCAATTTCTACACAATCACTAGATTGTATGGTGGTATCACCCACCAGACTTCAAAGCTATAGCAGTTATACCAGGTAGCTTTTGACAGCTACCTTACTTTCCTCATTTAAAAAAATAGAAATAACATTTATTTTTAGAGTTGTTATTAAGACTAAACAATTTGTGTAACGTAGTTATACAATATGCTGCAAGGTTAATAGAGAGCACTCAATGGAAGTCTATTTATTTAATTTAAAGACATTTGGTAATTTAAATGATTACATGAACATCACTTGAAATCCGTATGTTCTTGGAAGAAAGCTCTGAAGCAGAGTCATACAGAGAAGGGAGCGCCTCAACAGTAAGGCAAAATGCTCTCTCTGAATAATCAACTTCAGGGGAGTGCAGTTCTCATGTGAACGAAGCTGCTCAAAGTGAACATGTGGCAGCCACTCAAGAGGCACTACAGAAAGATTCTTTACAATTGAAAAATAAATAATTAAATGGTTTGAAAGACGGGAGTGTATTCAGTAAAGCAGGGTGATTTTTAGATAAAAACATAACCGAGGAAGCCTTCTACCCATTTTATAATCCATCTAGAAAAATAAATAAAAGACATGCTATATTTAGTAATAGACACCTGGATGTCCAGGTGGCCTTGGCAATTTGAGAGTCTCTCAAATGTTCAAGGGAAGATAGGTCTTCACCTAAAAACATTAGTGAAGCAGGACATGGTGGTACACACTGTAATCAATCCCAGCATTTGAGAAACTGAGAGGATCAAGAGTCCAAGGCCAGCCTGGGCTACACAGTGAGATCCTGTCCCCAAAACAAAACAAAAAATTAGTGGAGCCAAGTGCAGGTGGCTCACGTCTGTAATCCTAGCGACTCAGGAGATAGAGGTCACAAGAATCGCAGTTTGAAGTCAGCCAGGGCAAAGAGTTTGCGAGCCCCTATCTCGAAAATACCTAAAACACACACACACACACACAGGGCAAAGACTTTGCGAGCCCCTATCTCGAAAATACCTAAAACACACACACACACACACACACAGGGCAAAGACTTTGCGAGCCCCTATCTCGAAAATACCTAACACACACACACGCACACACGCACACACACAGGGCAAAGACTTTGCGAGCCCCTATCTCGAAAATACCTAACACACACACACGCACACACGCACAGCCAGTGGAGTGGCTTAAGGTGTAGGCCCTGAGTTCAAGCCGTGGTACCACAAAATAAATAAATAAATAAAAATTAGTGGAGCAAAGTTGTTTCATTACTAGTAACTAAGGATGTTCACTAAACCTGCCTCCCATTAGAAAGCTAGTAAAATAATGCCCACATTGTATCATTTTACTTAATTACATCAGGTATCTGTAGTAAGATGGGAGTGCTCAGAGCATAGCAGCAAAAGATACAAGGGGTTCATTTCATTTGAAAAGTCATTTATTTGAAACTCAATAAATTTGATTAGGGATGAAATATTGTGTTGTCTTTTTTTTGTCTTTGGAAGCAGAGTTTCATTCTGTAGCTCAGACTGGCCTTAAATTCAGGATTCTCCTGTCTTAACCTCCATAATGCTGGGATTATAAGCATGTGCCACCATCCTCTACATTGTATTATCACATTAAAAAAAAATTATGAAGAAGTACTTGCTAGTACAGTCAAGAGTTAATGGGAGAAACTATTCACAGAGAAGTATTTTCTTAAAACAAATTGGCAATGTGAAGGAATTTTTTTAGAAAATGTTCTCAAAGCCAGAGATTTTTCACTTCTGAATTAGGACTTCATGTTTCTGCTGGACCAAGTGAAAAGCACAGGGAATAGTTTGGTGAATGTGAATCATCTATAAGTATAGCCCATTTTTCATGTTTATATGTACATATGAAAAGGAAAAATGAAATCAGTCATACTCTTTGCAGAGACACAATGGGTGAATATTTTGTGAACCTCCCACTTCTATGAAATGATGCAGAATTTATGATGTTAATAGCTACAGTACATAGGTATATTTTTTCTTTCTTTTCTCCTTTTTACCCCTTCCTTTTATTGTCTTAATATCTTGGTAAAATGTAATTGGAATAAACACTAAAAATGCTTTCACTACCAATGCATTCTGAAACTTGTGAAAACTTGCAAGTACAAAAGAGTGCATGAGAAAAATGAATATGGTCAGACATGTTAAGTATTTCCCAACAGATCCGTCCAAGTAGAAAATCATAAAAACTGAAAGCAGAACTTTAAAAAGTTAGTTGTAGAAATGTCCGTTCCAAGTATCTGTTTCTGAGAGCTATTCAGCTAGGAGAGCAAATGCCCATGAAGATGCATTATCACTTTAAAAGCACTTTATTATGAGGGCTGGGACTGTAGCTCTGCAGTAGAATGTATACTTATCAGCATGTGTGTGGCCCTGGGTTCCATCCCTTACCCCTCCCACCCTGGGGAGGACTTTTTTATTATGAATATTGACAGAGTAAAAACTTTGGACATACAAATATAAAGACTCTATTTTTCAGAAATAAATTGAGCATATCTATACAAACATGAGGTACATACATTTTTAAAAAGTTTAATGATATACATGCATACACATATAGATACATGGATTTAAAAAATCATGCGCACCTAACTAAGTTAAAACTTTTTTTGGGGGGGGGTGTAGGAAAAGAACAAAAGGGCATACATAGTCAGACTTGAAGAAAATGTTAGCAAATACTTACAATATGCAAAAGTTTTAGTACATCCACAAACCTGTAAAAAACAGCAATGAAAAAAATGTTTTAAATGAGTCAATGGGGGAAGACAATCTTTTGAATTTTAAGATTGATACCTACACTTTCTCTGAGCTCATGATCTCCTTGGCAATATGATGGACTTTACTTTTCATTCCAGTATCTTCATCCTGTGGGTAAGAGTATATTGAGAAAGCATGAACTCATAAGGATAATGGAGATGGCTATGAGCTAGTCAGACATGCATTTTAGCTCTCATCCTATGTTTCCTACTTGCACACAATTCATACTGTGCAACACCTCAAAGACATATGTGGAGAGTTAGAAGAGAGATAATTAGATGATAACTGAAGTAGCTAAGAGCAATCAGGAATGGGATTGGTGGACTGCCCTGGGTAGCCCCAGGGCTTTGGTGGAATACTGACATCAAAGGTTCAAAATGGAAAACTTACAATCAGCCCTTATCCAACAGCCAGCTTTACTCATGGAGGCATACTACCTCTTTACTAATAAATTAATCCTTGCTATCTTCCTACTCTGTGGCTCCTTGGCTGTACCAGAATCCTAATCTTAGATATTATACCTAAAGAACCAAGGAACATCTCAAATATCCCATCCATGGGTAACATTGTGATGCCATGACTTGGTTCTGCTAAAGGAGTAAATCCTGTTCACACCTCCTCTGTTGGCTACTATAGGACTGCCTTAGGATCTCTTGCCTTTCCACTTTCTTTGAAGCCTACAGTCATATCTCCTTCCTGGCCAAGCCTATGTGGACAGATACTTTTCTAGCTTTCCGGAATAGTGTAGGGTCCCAATACCTGCTGAGACCTCACTTTCCATTTCTGCTCCATGTGTTGTTGCTTTGCATGTTTCATGCCATATGACCCCTTTTCCATCTTGACCTGGGATTCCACAAAACTGGTTTCTCACTGCCTCAGTAGTCATCTCCTCCAACAATATAAGGTAGAAACTAGGAGAACTATGAGGGAAACTGCCTCTCGGTTCTTGTTGGACTGAATGCAAATTAGGGATCATTTAAACTTTCCTTCTAAAAAGAATGAAGACCCAGGTCAGGTCCCCTAGACCTCTAAGATTGGAGGCTCTGGCTACCCAGGAAATATTATAGGTCATAAAGGGACAATGAGATTTATGGAGGGGTCAGATCCTTAAGGATGCCAGGTTGCAGGGCTTGCATACAGGGGTGACTATAATCATTGTGGGTCACAAAAAAATGTATGCACAACAGTCAACATGGACATAGAGGAAGATTACAGGGCAAGGCCCCTAACAGAATGGCCCAGATTCAGTGACATGCCAGAGGAATGCCTCTGAGCCCTGGGTTACTGCGGGAGGAAAGGATGTTCTCTCTGTAGGTAGGTACACATGGAGGTAATCTCTGACAGATGCCCTCAGTGGTTGGTTATGTGCTCCCTCCCCTTCCAGAAATAGAGACTAGCCTTCCATACTTTGGAATTTAGAAAAATTCTGTGGCAAGTTGGGAAAACGGCCAGAGGTTCCACCTTTCCAATCATTCATGGCTTTATGCTTGAGTCCAGAGAAAGATCATAAACCCCAAAGAAAGTTTCAACTCGGAAAACTCTCCCAGATCTGATCCCTTCACTACATCCGAATATGGGAAGCCCCACTCTCAACAGAGTAACAGCTTTCTTTCTTTTGCTGCTCCTCTTGTAAAATAAACCACTTATTCAAATTCCTTAACTTAGTCAGGTCTTGCTGAGATGCAGGCATTCACAACTTCTAACAAAACAACCTGAGCAGTGTTTTAAGATTCTTGGGCCCCAGGGCTGACAGAATTAAGTATGAACTTAACAATGGAGACAGGACTGATGGGGAAACATCTCAGGACAGGAGTCAAATCTATCCCCCCCCCCCCAACAATGACTTTCTATTCCTGACAAGGCCTCACCTGACCAATCCCAAGATACTGATTAACCAGACCACATCTTTGACCAAGACTGCTCAACTATATACCTCCTGTCCCCCGCTTCTAATGCTGTGACTTGTCTCATCTGGGCCTCTAATTTCAATACCCTTCTTAAAATTTCTTACCTTCCAGCTACAGAATACCCTGGTCCTCAGACCATACTGACAACTTCCCATCAACACCTCTTCCTGCCACCCCCAAAAATAGGATAGCTGCTTCATTTCCAGACAACCATAGTCCTGCTGGCCCAACAATGTAAAGGCCATATTCTCAGCAGAGCCCAATCAACTTTACCATATCCTGTCAGACAGCAAAACTCTGGACACTGAGTACCCCCTGGCACCCTATCAGCAGGAAGGAACCAGACTGATCTCCTCATCTATAACCCTAAGAGAATTCAGAGTCCTGAGCTCTTGAGGGAGAATGTTAGTACAGGCAAATAGGTAGGCATGAGCAGAAACAAGGAAATGTTCCAGGCTACAAAACCCAACATGTCTCCTATCTTGGACCAGTGATTCAGATAATGGCCCTATATTCTCCTTCTGGAGACCACTCCCACTGGCAAGACTAAACCAGGGAGGGCAAAGAGGATCAAATGCACAGCACCTGCCCTCATCTCTTCAAAAACACAAATGTATGATTTCCTGCACCTATGAAACCACTGTGCAGTTGTCAAACTCTTCTACTCTGTACTTCTTCCTCTGTAAATTGAATGCCCTAGCAGAGACAAAAAACATGAATGTTAAAAGAAAATAGTGCGGATGACTTGAAAAGAGATCTTAGTATTTATACAAATTTTGTCTGTTTTGTTTTGTTTTCAGTTAAATACTGATAAAACTGGCTTTGATTCCAGGGCACTAGACAAAAGGAGAGAAGTGTCTCTATCACAATGTCCCTGAAGGATCTGAACACAAATAAGGAATGATCGATGAAATGTTTTAGATATTCCACCTCAGGTGAAAATTATAGCTGCTACAGCCATTCAAAGAAAAATGCTCTTCTGCTTCTGTACAAGAACCATCAGGCCTGGTTTTAGGAAGAGGTCTCTTCATTCCTGCCAGCATTGGCAACACCAGGACGGTTATTGTGTGCTCCCCAAGGCACAGTTGGACAAGGAAAGGCTTAAAAAGTTACCATGGTGATCCAGTAGTCATTCATTAATGAAATGCCACAGTGGGGAGAAAAACAGCAGCTGGAGTAACCTCTTTTGGAAGTAGTAGTCTTTTCTAAATTGAAATCGCATGCTATCCTAGTAGATCTGCTTACCACAGAATGACTGTGAAGGGTCAAAGGACTATCTTAGTTCTTTAACTGGAAATAATGTTTTTTACCTGCTTCCAGAATTTCAGTGCCAGAATTAAGGGATAAAAATAAATGCAATTTACTAAGATATATTGTAAGCATATATGTAACTATCACAATGTACAATATACATATAATGTACAATATACATATAATACAGATAATATAATACAAAATAGCATATAATATAATACAAATATTATATGCTAATAAAATTTAAAAATAAATGCAGTTAAACAATGAATGAAACTTTCCTGAAATAATTTTTACATATATGCCTGTTTGTGTTCTCCAGGTACTTTAAGATCCTTTAATTCACTTATTTAAAGCATTGGTGAGGTCCAATTAAATAAACTGAGACATGATTCCTGAAGGTTTTATGAGTAGGTTTAAATTTTTTTTAAATGGTACTACAGATCAAATTTCAGGCTTCACACATGCTAGGTAAGCACTGAGTTATATCTCAGCCCCCAAATTTGGATTTTTTGATTGGAGCTACTTCTATAGTAATAAGCCAGAAAAATCATTACTTTCAGATTTTTTTTTATTATTATGAGAACCATTAGATCATAAATGGTAGTCAGTTATCAGAGTAAATGAGATCAAACATAACAAATATATAAAGCAAGAACTGGACTAAGAGTAGAATCTCCCAGAAGACCTACCAAAAGGAGGGATTTGTCAAGGTTCAAGGTTGATTATTAGAAAGATAGGGTAACTGAAAATGTAGCTTTGTGGCACAGCACTTGCCTGGCATGTTTGAGGCCCTGGGTTCCATCCTCAGCACTTCAAATATAAAAATAAAAAAATAAAGAAAAAACTTAGTTGGAGCAATGCATGGATTACTGGTGCAAAACTATAATCCTAGCTAATTGGGAGGTGGAGATTGGGAGCATTACAGTTTGAGGTGCTAGTGGTATGGCTCATGTGGGTGAGTGTCTACCTAGCATGTGTGAGGCCCTGAGTTCAAACCCCAGTACCGCCCAGTTAAATAGATTAATTAATTAAATTAAATAAAAGTCAGTAAGTAGGAAAGAGAAACCATATTTTCTAATATTTAACCTGGGAGTTATTGTATTATATACTGGATCTCTCTCTCTCTCTCTTTCTCTCTCTCATAGGGTCTTGCTCTGAAGTCCAGGCTTGCCTCAAACTCTCAATCCTTCTGCCTCACCCTCCTGAGTGCTAGCACTACAGGCATGTGCCACCATGCCTGGCTGAGTCTCTCTTCAACATTTGCTAGTAACCTTGCAATATCTTAACAAACATGCACCCATGCTTCTACTCTTTTCTGAAGATTTAACAAATCTAAACATTCTTCAGAATTTGCATAAAATATTCTTTCAGTTGTTAAATATAGCATTAAAATTCTCATCCTCCTCATCCAGAAGTCAATGTAGTAAGTAGAGTAACACTAATCTTACAATTTGGCTGTATTTGTACCTTTTGTGTTTTCAAACTTTACTACAGAGGAGTTTGCATGCAACAGCAAGAAATCCTAACCCGTCTATAAGAATACAGATACTGTTATGCAAAAGTACTCAAAAAAGGCTATGGAACCAACTATTTACGAAAAGAATGTTTAAAAGAACAACTGATTTCTAATCTAGAGTGCACAAGAATAAAATCTAACTAGTCTAGGATGTTCTACCTTCTCCTCGACCTTAGCTCTCTCCAATTCTGTTAAAGACAATTAAGTGATTTGACCTCTATCCCCATTATTCCTCATTTTTTCTAAGATAGGCTGTGCATGATTGAGACTCACTGCTTGCATAAGTTTTGCTTTACTCAGCTCCATGCACTCACCTTTACACATTTATGACACAGCTGACATTCCTCAGGAAGCAGTCTCAAGCACAATCTGATCTAGTAGCTCATCTATCAGTCATCAACTAATAACAAAGATGCTGTACGTGTTTC